CTGAACATTTACAATAAAATACTGAACATTTAATTTGTTGCGAAATTTACATCATATACATATGAACATACATGTCACGTTATTTTTACGTTATGTGTTTATGCCATTTCTAGGAGGTACAACTCTCACTCACAGTGAATGATGAGTAATGATCACTCATTGCTCATATAAGTGTGAGCGAATTTTCTTGACCAAGTGAAGTGTGGATGTGAATATGCATAGATTGCAGGAAACTGTTGTCAATGTGGATGTCAACATTGATATAATTCTTTATGCACACTCAGATTCGCCTACACTCACTCATATGGACATCTGATTTGGCATTCTCTTCTCCTATATCAATCAACTGAGAGCAGTCATTCCGATTTCCATTCTCTTTTATGATTCTTAAGAAGAATACAACAACAATAAGAAACACCTATGTCTGACTCACGTAGAGGAAAAAGAAATAAAAATATTTTTCTTCTAGATCCCACCGATTGTATTACCACTGATTTCTCTTAATTATGATTTTTCATTAGAAAATAATAGTCAACTTCAACCAACCTCTAATTTAATATTTCAATCAATTACTCGACGTTCAACAAATGAAAATACTGATATGGAAAATTTAGAAATACTTGGCTCTGCTCACTGCTGTACAAAGATGCATGAATAGAGCGTGAGATTCACCTGGAGTTCGAGCATAATCAAATAAACCTCACTAGATATAGCATGGGCGCTGATTCATCTCTAAATGATCGAGAAGCAAGCCAACATTCATTAGATAGATTTTCGCGACTAAAATTATTGACAATTGAGTAATAAAAATACTAGAATAACTTGGAAGAAACCAAACACTACGCAGCATTTTTTCGTTAACAATGCAAATGATGAAAATGACGAAGGAAGTTTTATATCGTTCTTTGTGTGAATAAAATAATTCGGATAGGAAGAGAAATTTTCGGAAGTCGTTGTGAAACTTTCTGTACTTTCTACATGCCTACACGTAGCAGTACTAAATAGTTATTTGTGTCAATATTGATTTAGAAAGAAACAAAGAAAAAGGACTTTCAGAATGATGTCGTTTTGATGAATCGATTATGCTATGAAAAGAAGGAAGTCGAAAATAGTCGTGAATAATATACTCTTCTAATAAACTGAGATGTACGATCTTTCGATCTAGTACAACATCATCAAGAAATACAAGCAAGGGGGAAACGGCGGATTTTGGATTTTTGGTGATTTTTGGGATTTTTTTGAGATTTTTTGGGTTTTGATAATCCCAAAATCCAACACCAATATCCTGTTGAAGATACAGAAATTTCGAGCTGAAACTTTGTCCATATGTAGACTTCGTGGTTCTTAAAATATTCTAGAAGTTTCAGCGCCAACGGATGTTATCTTCTGGAGATAATGCGATCGCAAGAAATACTCATATTTCACATCTTGGTCAGAAAATCCACTTTTATTGG